CGTGCGGGCCCTGATGGGCAGAGTTCGTTTGCTCTATTTGCCACCAGGGTACTGGAGAGCGACCCTGGGAGTTGGGCCATTAGCATAACTTGCAGTAGGGCTAGTGAGAGGCGGGGGAGGACAGGTGAGAGTGACGGTCTGCAGTGGTGTAGTGTAGCGCAGAGGACTTAGCGTGATGCCGCATCTTTGGGACTTTATTGCCTGGCTGCTCTCTCCGACCTGCAGGGGATCAAGGCAGCGCTAGGAAGCTCATGGATTAAACCGCCAGTACTTCCTAAAGTCGTGCCCGTTAATGCGCCACGATTTTAGGAAACGTACGGGCCAATACAGGAGCACCCAAATTCATCCAACTAAAAACGTTTCTACTCTATTTTTTTCGGTGGCCGATAGCTGGGCCAAGTACTGGTGGTTTAAATCGTGTATAGCGGGGACTGCCAGACAGTGGGTTTAATCTCAAGCAATCCCGGGCCGTTGTTTGTTGCTTGCCTTGCCTTGGTGTAAGAAGACTTGGTACATGGGAAGATCGGTTAGAGGTGCGGCTGAAAGGTGGTGGGAACACATCCGATGTACAGAAAGGAGTAGGTTGGCAAGGCGCCAAGTTCCCGCCAACCTTGTATAACTGGTTAGACAAGTACCGGCCTGTATGGCTGTGGAAAGTATGTAGTGGTTCCTACAGCTTCTCCTGACGTAGGAGGCATAGCAGAGCTGGAGAAAACCTTGATCAAGCGCTTGGACAAAAATTTATATTTCAGCATCCACTAGCCTAAGGACCAGAATTTAAATTTTAACTTTTAATATCTGTTGTAGAATTGATATTATGTATTAAAATTTAGCACGCACTTGGACGTAATTTTAATTTAGGCCATCTTTCAGTCCACATACGGCTGGCGGTATTGACCCTGTTTCTCTATTCAGGGTGGAGATGGTAGTAAGAAGCTCTCCTTGCTATGCCCAAAGTCAGTCTATCGATCATGAAGCAGGCCTACCCACTGGTAGGAAAAGGTACTCGTTTTGTTACGTGCTGAGCCTGCACGCGGCCCCGTTTCAGGGGCCCGAAGGTTGCTGGGGCGGGCCAGGCCGCATGCCAGTCCGGCATGCGCCCTGGAGGCCCATGGTCGGCCATTCGTGACCTGGCCCTGATTAATTTCGTTTTCGTCCGGTCCTGATTAATTTCGTTTTCGTCCGGCAGCGGACACTTCTTGCTGCATCGGCCGGGAGGGCCTGGACGTCCGATAGGGACCCAGGCAGGCCGTTTTTAGGCCAGGCCCAGGAGCAGGACTTTTTCCTGTGATCTGGACCGTGGATCGAACCTACGTTCTTGCGGCCCAGATCACAGGTCGCGGGCACAGCACCCAGGCCCAGCACCTGGGCCAGCTCCTGGGCAGACACAGTTTGAGTAGCTCACTTCTTGGGCGACACGCTGCTGGAGCAGTACGCGACACAGCGCTGCGTTAGGTAGAGGTAGAGCCGAGATAGGAGGTAAAGAGGAAAGAGAGCGGCGGAAGGGTCACAGCTCCTTGTTCTGATATAGGAGACCTCGAGGGAGATCCCACTACCGATGTATGTGGAGTAGCGGATAGGGCGTGTGACCCTTCGGCACCGTTGATGAGAACGGTGCTCAGTGGTGTTGTTTTTCTTGGTGTTTTCGGCGTAGGCAAACATATGACTTTTGGGGGGCTCCCATTGGGTGGCATTTCTTTTGCTTTTGTTGTGGTGATCCTCTGGGGGTCATGAACGTGCGTGAAAATCATACCACCTTTTTTTGGTTGGATTTGCACACACCTTCCACTTACGTTTGCGTCGTTGCCCATGCATTCAAAAGAGGCCGAAAATGACAATGTTCCCCTTTTCTCATCATGAAGGGATGTCAGTTGATGTCAGAGTCTTCCCACAACGTGTCTGTCATTCCAAGCCTCTCGTTGGGGAACGTTAACAAATGTGTGTTGGCCTCATGTACATGGTCCATGAACCGTCCACATGCAGAACATGCCAGCGGAATCATCAGAAGATCCACAACCTGACAGCTGACCGCAGTTCGCGGCGGGTGGACAACATTGCGTTGTCAGAATTGCGACAGGATGCCACACGGATGTCGCCCTCAGGTCCTGCAACCATCACACTACTCCACATACATCCTTAGTGGGATCTCCCTCCAGGCCTTGCTCAGATTATGGAAGCAGGAAGAAACAAACGAGTTTCACACAAATTGGTCACCAATAAAAATAAAAATAAAAATAAACACCAACAGGCCCACTACGCACGTGAGTGGAGTAGTGGACACGGTGTGTGACTCCAATGCACCGCGGATCGGGACGGCAATCAGCCGTGTGCTTTTTTTCATATTTAAGGGGATGGGTATATATGTATTTCCGTGGCGCCCTATTGGTCGGACTTGCTTCTTTTTTTTGTTTTGAAGGTCCTAGAGGGGTCCCCAATGTGAATGAAAATCATGACGTTTTTTTTTCGTTCTGATTTTCACGTACTTTCAACTTACCTTTTGGAGGGCACCCTCGCAGGAAAGAAAGGCCAACAGCTAAAAGTTTCGGCCTTTGTCATTATGACGGGATATCAGTTTCTGTCAGACTGTGTGCGAATGCTGTCTGCAGTCAAAGCAGCGGTGCTTATTGGTCGGCTGGGGCGCCCGTCACTCGGACGCCCTTGGTTACCACAATTTTTTAAAAGTTTTATGTTCACGGAAAGGATGCCACACGATGTCGCCTGCACGTCGCGCACCCGTCACACTACACCACATACCTCGATAGTGGGATCTCCCTCCAGGAGCCGGGACCCACTAGCAGCATCGAGTAAATCGGTGTGTGGCGGCCGTTTCTTTAAAAAAAAACATATAAAGAATCCTTTTTTTTATTCTCAGAAATGCAAAGAAAACAAGGCCAACGCTATGCATGCATCCACACTTCCACCAACCCGGTACATCTGCATGCAACCTTCCCGCCAGCCTGTTCGCAGTCTTCCACGGAAATCTCAATATTCTCAATTTCTGCGGAAAAAAATAGCAAGGCGCGAAGCTTCAAAAACACCACCCCCCCTAAAAAAACCGTAGTATTGCAGCTTCGTGCCAACGCAAAGTGGCTACCTAAATGGACAAAAAGATGAAAAAGAAACTCTTCTATTGGCCGGCGGACAGATCCGTCCACGAAATCGGTCCTTATCGCCCTGCGCCGAAGATACACAAAAGGATCAACGGTCGCTGGATGTCACCTCTCGCCGCACCTGCCGAAGCGTAAATAGATGCTTGTGGGTCCCGGCTCCAGGCCCAGGCCAATTGGTACACCCATGAACTTCTGAAATACAGACCCAAGTTCGAATCCAGGCCCAACCAGATAAAGTCTGATGAACAGAATAAAATACATTTTATTCTGAGTCAGCGGGGCCAAGCCAGTTCAATTGCGATGTCAAAAAAAAATAAAATAATAATAATAAAAATGGTGATGTCTGAAGGCCCCCCGAAAAAAAAGAAAAAGCAGGACAGACAAGAAAAAAAATAAAAAATTGCTGCCTGAAAAGGAGGATCAGGGGCCAGAAAATGCACCCTGGAGGAGGGGGGTGAAAAAAAAAAAGCACCGTGGCCCTATGCCCTTTCAAAATGGAGTGCCGCCTACAGGCCCACCCACAATCAGGTCGGGACCCCCAGGGCTCCTGAGGGAGGTCCAATAAATTTGGAAAAAAAAACGAAAACCATGGGCTTCGGACAAGGTCCTACTCGCACCGCCATATTTCACAAAAAAAAAAAAAAAAAAAAAAAGACACACTTGCACGGACTACGCGGTACTGACCATCGATTTCCCCGATCTACAGTTAATGGTCCCCAGTCCACTACACAACATTCCAAATTTATCTGGACCACGAGCCCTTCCATATAATAAATTCTTGTTAGATCTGTCCAAATGAATCTGGACCATAAAACCAGTCCAGATACAAACAGATCCAATGAATGTTTCTAGTGGAGCCCGGCCCAGTACCTCTTGAAGTGCGCAAGCGGGACCTGGCCCCTCATCAATGTCTCCCTCTACAAAAAGTTGAAAAACCATTATTACATCTTCTTGTCACAAAAAAGGAAACCTCATTTACAACGGGCCCAGTGCCCAAGGCTTAATCGAACACTATTTCTGCAACAAAAAAGGAAAAAAAA